ATAATTACAATATTTACTAAAATAAAAATTTTCACTTTAATAAAGTTTTAAAGCAATTATTTTTAATTTTTTTTGGTTTAGTAGCTTTGTTAAGAGCTATTAAATTTTGCGTCAAATTATCTCATTTTAACATATTCGTTGTATCATCGATACTGCAGCCGTTTTTCAAAACGCCTTAAAGTTTAAAATATAATTTTTGACTTTTTAAAAAATAAGGTTTATATTTCTACAAACGTTATTGAATTCATATTTTCAAAGAGTTCTGAAAAAAAAATATATTAAAATTATTTGTTTCAAAAAACGTTTAACAAAGAGTTAATTTTTAATCATTTTTTTTAATACGTTTTTCTCAAAATACGTAATAAGCATATTAAGGCGTTTTGAAAAACAGCTGCAGCATATATTTATAGTAAAAAAAATGTAGCAAAAAAAACTTTTTGTGTAGCAGTACTTTCTTATTTATTTAATATAGCTTTTTCTTTATTAAGTTCAGAAAACTTTTTTTCAAACCATTCGTAGCATTTTAGGACTAATTACCTGAGCACATTAATAACATAAGTGTCTCAATCATCATACATTCGCAAAAAAATTTTTCTCTCGGTGATGTGTTGATCCTAAAATCTTTTCTTTTGTGAAAGTGTATAATATCGTTACGTTATGTTATGTATATAATCTTTATAAAACTTCAATATTATTTTGTATTTTAAAATAATCGAAAAAAAAATATTTAAAAAAAAGCTGCCATTGATAGGGAACGAACCTCAGCTTACTTGTGCAGAAGCTCGGCGTCTTATCTACTCGGCCACATTGCACAGTGAGACAGAGTGTGCCAAATAGAAAAAAATCACTATCGGCATTGTATTCTGAAAATATGTCATAATGGTGAAAATATGTTTATTAGACAAAATATATAGTTAAAAAAACATTAAATACTAATTTATACGTTGTTTTATGCGGTTATATACACGTGAATTTGACATGTGTTTCAAAACGCTTTATTTCATTTTTTTAATTATCAACTTTCTTACGCTACTATTGTTTTAAATTAGTTTTGTTGAGTATGATTTTAAAATATATTATTTGAATTAACTTTGTTTTTTTCGCTCTGACTATTCAAAACAATTAAACGTAAATGTAATAGTCAGTTTTTATGCATCAGTGACAGGCAGTTTTGGCTTTTTTTTTTGCTATTAACCTTTACTATTAGGTATCAGATAAACCGTCCTCTAATATCCTCTAAACATTTGATTATGTAAATCGGATGCTTAATGTATCTTAACTGCAATTTATCATAAGTATTTTGCAACTTTTTGCAACTAATAAAGTTATAACAAATAACTCATACTCAATTCATAGTATTTATTGCAAAAACACGTTTTTCATAAGTTCTTTAAACTCAAATATTTTTCATGACTTTTTAACTGCAAATTAGTTATGCAAGATTTTTTTTACCGAAGGTTTCAATAATTTTTTTCTTTTAGTTATATATATGATACTTGTTGATATGGTGTCTTTTTCCCTTCGTCCCTCCTCCCCCCCCCCCCTACTTCCTTTTCCTCCTTAAAAAAATATTTTTACAACCTTTTCAGTATATCTAATGCTTTTACATATAGTGTATGCACTAATAATATTTTACAGACACTTGTCCGCAAGATGCAATAACTTCAATTTTATCTTTAGATGAAATGTTTTGATTTTTTCAACTCTTTAAAAACTAATAAAATTTCTATTCAAGATACTCAGAAATCATATATTCATTTTCAACATTCTTTGAGTTATCCCTTGATCAGAACAATGAAATTGTTTGGAGATCAAAACTTATGTACATTATGTATATTTTAGCACATCTTAAATATCGGTGGAATGTTTGTAAACGCAGAGAATCTTTATTTATTAAGAACAATACTAAATGGCTTAATAATGAAACTAATTTAAATGATTTTTCTACAGGCAAAATAACCATACCTACAAGTTCTCAATCTACTTCCAGCGCTGGTCGACCAACAATTACTGACTTTCAAGAGTGTTCTTCAAGAACTAAGTATCGACGTGTTAGTAAACTCTAAAAAAGTCACTTGTCAAATGAGCTAATATTTGCTTCAAAAGTTTCATTAAATAAAGAAGGAAAAATAGAAAAAGCTAAAGCAATCAACAAAATATATTCAGATAAGAATGTAGATTCTTCGATGCTTTCTGGAAATGAAGCATTGTCGTTGATGCTAGATTCAAATATGACTAAAGCTGCGTTTTAACTCCATAGAAAAGCAAACAAAAACTTTTGTGCTACCCTAATAACATGATTTTTACTGACTATACTGCAAGTATACCACTGCAAAGTTTATGTGACCATACAGCTCAAAGACTTTGTCAAGTTCAAAATGAGGTTTTATGTATGCTAGAAACGTTTGACCTGGTATCTCTACATTATAAAGCAGGTTTTGATGGGTCTACTGGTCAAAGCATATATAAACAAAAAATGTCTGTTGAAAGTTTTCGTGACTTGAAAAGAGAAGAATCATTGTTTCTAACTTATCTGGTTCCACTTCAGATTAATTTTATGTTAAAGAAACCCTAACTGTCATTTGGAGAAATCCAAAACCTTCTTCCACGTTATATTGCCGACCTTTAAGATTTAAATTTGAAAAAGAAACAACTGATTTATTACTTATTGAATAAGCTACTTTGAAAGACAAGATCTTAAATCTTGTGGAAACTTTTGTTCAGTTATCTAATGGCAAGTCTATTTCAATCAAACATATCATTCAAGTTACAATGATAGATGGTAAAGTCCATACTGCTCTATCAAATGTAACAATCTCTAGTCAATGTTGCTGTATATGCGGGTGTTCACCAAAAGACATGAACAATATTGACAAAGTAACGAAACTTCCATTCTCACCTGATGAGCTTCAATATGGATTATCTACACTTCATGCATGGATAAGATTTTTTGAGTGTCTCATATTTATATATATTTCATATAAGATACCAATAAAAAGTTTCGCTTACTTTGTCTGGAGGCCGCAAAACTCTACTCATGCTTGTACCATTGGTATTACATGCCTTTGAGTCTGCACAAGATCTTAATTCATGGAGCAGAAGTAATAGAAAATCTATTCTTACCAATAGGTCTATTTAGTGAAGAAGCTCAAGAAGCTAGAAATAAAGAACTTGGAAAATATAGGGAACATCATTCCCGTAAAAATTCAAGAACAAAGACAAACGAAGATGTAATGAAAAGACTTTTATGTACATCTGATCCAGTTATTTCATCTTATAGAAAAACTGTTTCATCTGTAAAAAAGAAATTTCCTCCGGGTGTTGTTGAACATTTTATTTGCGAGAATTCTACGTTTTAGAATATAGATCTAGTTCGTAATTTTTAATGGTAATTAAACTAAAAAATAAACTTTTTTAGCAATATATACAAGCTTGATATTCATTTTATATGGTTTGTATAACTAATTTATAACAGTTCTAATTAAAAAAAATAAAAATAATTTTGGCACAAAAAACGCGATTTTATTCCACTGTGCACTGGCACAAACTCAAACGAATATTTTAAAAATAATCTAATGATTTTTTTAAAGGAAAAAATGTTATAGATCAAAACTAAGGTGAGCTTGACACAATGCAGTTTTCAAGTGAAGATCAAACTGTAAAACTTGATAAACGATTCAGTGTGTTTAAACATATGTTTTAACAATACTTGATTTAAAGTTTACGTATATTAGATATTTGCATACGCGTTCGTTCTTGTTTTTTATAAAACAAAGTGCTGCGACTCTTACCCACCGATACCTTGTTTGCACATTGCGCCAATATTGTAAAGTCAATATTTGAAATATTGGCAATACAATATTGCGCCAATACTGTAAAGTCAATATTGGCCAATATTGGCAAAATGTTCCCATTGCAATATTGGCGCGATAATGCTTAAAATATTGCGCCAATATTTTAAATAATATCGCGCCAATA